TGTTGTTGAATAGCAGCCATAGGATTTTTAAAGTAAACCTGAACAGGCAGATAGGACACAATTTGAAGGAAATCAGGTCACCAAAGTGGTGACTAGGTCGTCACTTTGGAATGCTAATGTGCAGCCCAGGTCTTAAATGGCGAAAGGAAACAGATGGTTTTATTGAATCATTGTTAAGGAATTAACACACAGCAACAGAGACCAAAATAAGGCGGGAGCCCTGTTATTTATCTGTTTTTAAGATTGAAATGGAAAGGGAATAAGTCATTCGTAGCCAAACTGCACATGGCACTACCATTTATCACTTCCACTAATATTTAAAAGCAATTACACGGCACTGGTCCATTGAGTAAGACCATCCATGTCGCCTTGCTCCTGGAATGGAAAACAAAGGGTTTTTAAATAATCTCTATTAAGAGCAGAAATGCTTCCAGAATATCAAACTACCAATTTCCCATAACAGCATAAAGCTGCTGAGATCCTCTGAGGAGAGAGTGTGCGTTCCATTCCAGACACAGAGAAATCTTCATGAGTAGATAAAACACATATGTGGAAATTCTCAGTTTGGTTTAGATATTCTTAAGCACGGTGACGGGTTTCGACGTATATCAGACACCCGGTTGATCAAAAAAGAAACATGGCTGCTGTGTTTGCCTACAAATCACCAGGTCACTGCACTTAACAGAATTACCTCCAAATTCCTTTGAATCATTTTAACATTATAAGCATTATATCAAACACAAAGATTATTATTAGTATTATAACCTTTGATTTGATACGGTGCCTCTAAATCGTGAAGACTTCTGGAAATGTTTTGCAGGATTTACTGTGAAGCGTAGTGACTGTATTTGGTTGAAGAACTACCAATTTCCCATGATCTGTTGCCATGTTCAGTGCAATATCTTCCGTAACATGATTGAGTTATTTCTCAACTAAGTCCGAAGTCCTGCCCCCCACTCCCCCATTCTAGCTGCTGATTACAAGAACTTACACATGCACAGACGGCACACAAAGTCCTGTTACCCCCTGTTACAAAACAGTGATATGAGATGACGGAGAAGCTGAAACAAGCTGTCAGATCTGCCTTTCACCTCCTCACTCCACCATGTTTCAGAAGGTGTCACACCAAACATGGCAACAGATCATTATCTGCCATGAGAATCATGGCGCTCACTCACACCTATCCTCTGGATGCCTAAATACAGTTACAAACTTGCACTGAATACAATCACTTACCTTTAAATACAATTGTCATCATACTTCCACATGTTTCAATTGTTGGTCAGTGCACTGTGTTAAAAAAAAAGGTGTAACAGGACTTTTGTGGACCCCCTGGACATCACCTATTGACGTGGAAAAGTGCCTTGAACAGCCAGGGTTGAATGGGAACTCTAAATTGGCCCTGGCCTTCTCAGGTTAGAGAGGGACTGACTACAGGCTTTCCATTCCTGGTCCCCCTGCTCTAGTGGTTTTGTGTCTGTGTGTGGCAGCTGAGAGGTCAGGCTCAGGCAGATAATAGTGACTATGGAACTGTACTTCACCTGCCCCCCAACCCCCAGCAAGAAGAGGTCAGACCAAAGACAGAGCAACATGGCAGAGGGGGAAATTAAGCAATTGGATTCACAAAATTTTAAGGGAATTTTACAATAATAGTAATAATAATCCTTGCATTTGATGTAGCGCCTCATCACATCATTGATTTGTCTCAGAGTGCTTCACAGAACATACAGCTCAGTGGATTGACTGTATGCTTTCTTGGTGAAACAAAGTGTTGAGACAGGCGAGGCTGGAAGCATTGTTATCTTTCTGCTAAGTTCTCTGCAATTGCCCCATCCCACACAAAAGAATAATAATAATAATGATAATAATAAGACGCCTTTGAGACATCTCAAACGCTTCATAGGATATACTGTAAAGTGAATTGACTGTATATTTTGTGGACCTTTTGTTGATCAGTTCCATTCAGCATTACGCTTTGCATCGAGGCTGGTGGCAATTTAGTAACAGCACTAACAGGAGCTTTTGTTGTGAGGAGACAACAAGCAGCTCCTCAGCTGTCAGACCCTGTCTTGTGCACTATGGGCAAACCGGCAAGTTTGTAATAAAGCACAGCAGCACCACAGAAGTTGAATCGTTGTAACAGCCGGCATGACAAAGGGTAGTGATGTGCTCCGACTGGACTGCAATGATGGATGGAGACTAGGGAACTACGAGTAGATTTTAATCTGCAACCTTGGTGGGCCTGCCAAGCTTTAATACTGTAACCTCAGCAAGCCACCACGCATGACTGCAAATGATTCTAAATTGAACTTAAAATACATTTGTAATTTGGGGTAATAAATTCGATTTGACGTTGAAATGAAAGTTATATAAACAGTTCAGGAATAAGTGGTTATGTTCACATATACCAACACAATACAACCAACATTGTGGGGTCCTGTAACTCAGTGGTGAGAGCACTCGCCTCGCAAGCGAGTGACCTGGGTTTGATTCCCGGCAGGGCGAAATGTTGAGCAAGTTTGCTTACTCCACGCCCCTCTGTTTACCCAGCGGTAAGTAGGAATCCGGTTATTACTCAATTGGCGGATCGCTTTTGCGAGACTAATAATCTCTCTAAAAAAAAATACGAATTTGGTCATTCAATCCATGACTGTTTGTGGGACACTGCTGTGCGCAATTGGCTGCCGTGTTTTGCCCACAAATATACGGTCAATTCCCTTTACAGTATAGTACTTTGAGACGTCTAGAAGATGTGAAAAGCGCTATATCAAATGCAAGGATTATTATTATTATGATTATCATCATTATTATACTAGGAATGATACCACGGCTTAAAGAGTTAACTTATGAGGATGAGTTGCATAAACACTTGCTGGAGGAAAACACTCTTTTGAGAACGACGGTTGTACTATCTCACCTATGGTTTTGTATCTATTTGTACACCCCCAGGGCATACTCTCAACCAAGTGCATCTCAGTCCCTTTATCGTCTTCGGTTCATCGGTACATCGTGATTTCCACAACTGCTCAAGCGCTGAGGCCAGCAGCAATAGTCCCTTCTACCACCGCAGAGAAAACCTTAACAAATAAATCAATCGCCAGCTTGTCTAAAGTGGTTTGCACTGCTTCCATCAGCTGAATAAGAGTTGGTATCAGCTCGTTCCTATGCTGGGTTTATCTTTCCCGCATAAATAAATCTTTGTCAATAAAGGCACCAAACTCGCTGGGAGCGTTTTTATCAATATGTGGGATGGGCTGACAGCTTGTGGCTCCACAGTAAATGCTATCACTCTTACTGCCCATGTGTTGCGATTGACACAGATAAGATGAGAACAAAATTCACCTTCAAAGATGAAATTTGGCCGAATCCTCACTAACTGTGATGGAATATTCCCTTTTAATCTGGCCACACTTTGACTCTGGGAATGTAATTGAAAGGAGAGAGTTGTTCTGAGTGATGGTTTTTCCCACAGCTTGGGTAGTGAGTACTTCAGCTTCCGTTAGCTCCCAGGATCAGATCCTCAATGTAATTTGATATCAGGGTAGCTGCTATGACAGATCTGTAGACTTTGAATTATGGGACAAAGAGCAGAGAATTGGGAATAGAGCAGTTAGCACCAATGGAGGAATCAGTATCAGTGAAGGAGTCACACTAATAATAATCCTTACATTTAAGATAGGGCCTTTCCCATCAGAGGACGTCCCACAACCTTGGCTTGCAGGGTTAACAGGAGCTGAGTGGGAATAATTCCCTCTCCCAATGTAGCGAGACCTCCACAAAGGGTTAACTCAATTCTGACATTCTCGGGTTAAGTATGTCCCTAACCATCAGAGGTCGGGCCTTCAGCATCTCTGCCCCCATCCTTTGGAACTCCATCCCACAGTCGCTTAGCCTCGCTCCCTCCCGTGTCTCCTTCAAGGCCAGTCTCAAGACTCTCCTCTTTGACCATAGGCAAATATGGCAGGCAATTTGCGTGCAGAAATGTCCCACCAAACAGCCAATGAAACGACCATTTTTTTCAAAATGCCACGGGATCTTTAACATCCACCTAGAGAGTCAGACAGTACCTTGGTTTAACGTTTCATCCAAAAGACGGCACTTCCAAAGATGCAGTGTTCCCATCCCAGACATAAAGCCCCAATGTGGGGCTTGAACCCACAACCTTCCGCATAGGAGACGAGGGTGCTTCCGACCGAACCGAGCTGAAACCTAAACAGTGCATCTGCCCAGTAATTTTGTCTTTCAGGTTCATTTATCCTCTAGCCCTGTCTGCCTCAGCCACGCTTTCACAAGGTGGCTTGTCTGATGCCAATTAATTGTTCGTTGTACAGATTATGCAAATAACCCAGGCATGTGTCCCTCAATTAAATCAAAAAGATTATTTTTGTGAAAAAAGCAATTGCCTGCTGCAATAAAAATTCATCAGGCATTGCAAAATATTAAAGCGTAATGAGACTTTATAATTGTGAGAGCAAAATAATATTTATGCAAATTAAAAATATATTTTGAAACAAGAGTGAGTAAGTATCAACATAATCTTGTGTGTGGGACTGAATTTTCTTTCGGTAATTCTCAACTAGCATGTACTTAGCGCTAAGAAAACCACTTACTGCTTGCAAGGGTGGTTTCTCAAAGCCAGTTTTAAACAATAATGTGTCAGCCTGTCTCAGTTACTAGCTTCTGAGCCAGACGATTGTAGGAGCAAGCCCTACATCAAGACTTCGAACTCATATAATCTATACATATACATCAGTGAGGTGCTGAGGAGCATTACACTGTCAGAGTTGCCGTCCTTCAGACCCCAAACATTCAGAGACGTTGAACCCAAGTCCATCTATCTGCCTGTTCAGGGTGTTGATGTTGGTGTTGCAAGGTGTTGATTAGTGGGTTCCCACTGGTGCAGTAACACCGAGCAGTAAATGTGCACTAACTTTATCCCGCAGCAATCCAGAGACAATCCAGCAGCAAATCTTTTACCGACGTTTTACCTTCCTTTCCAGGTATATGCTGCCTGTTGGCAGCCAAGGTGGTTACTGTATGATTGAAGTGAGTCTGGAAGGAGATGTACCGGTGCAAAAGAAGGAATTTCTGTCGCAGCAAGCCTCCCAGGTGGGACTGAATATTATCACGCTTAACTTGCTCGATTTATTAACGCTGTTAATGTGAATCTCTACACGAACAACTTAACAACAGAATATGCTGTTTTTTTTCCAGGCAAGGTATGTTGTAAGGGAATAAGCCATTCTGGGAGAACGCTCGTCATTGCACACCAATATTTAATGGAAGAAACACAAGTTCCAACTGCTCTTTTCTATGGTCGTGTTTACTTATATGGAAATGGAAAACCAGATTGTAAAATTCCGCGTCATCTTAAATTTGAAGTCAACAGTCTGAGAACAAACGGGCAGCCTGATGGTGGAATGGAGCTGCTGGAGCTCCCTGCTTCCAATCCCGTTCCGTGCTCAGTATTCGGAGTTGGCCATGGAGTCCCATAGCGTAGTGGTTTGAGCACTGGCCTAGCAAGCAAGAGAACCCGGGTTCAATTCCCGGGCAGGGCGAAACCTTAGGCAAGTTTCCTTACTCCAGCAACAACAACAACTTGCACTTATATAGCACCCTCCACGTAGCATCTCATAGCGCTTAACAATGGGGGAATCTGACTCCGTCTCGGAGGGGAGAGGTGGCCGTAAGCTCGGTCGAACAGGAAAGTTTTCAGGCGGGACTTGAAAGAAGGGGGAGAGGGGGGCAAAAATGCAAACATTTTTTAAATGGCATAAACTCTACACACCTTTGTTTACCGAGCAGTAAGTAGGAACACAGTTGTTGGTCGATTGGTGGATCTCGGAATATGTCGGTATATTAAATATGAATGCGCAATTCCTTTAAACCAGCGTTGTTCCCTCAGAACTGAGAGGCAAAGGTAGATAACTCAATTTGTTATTCTTAAGCGGGGTTAATAGGTCTAATTAAAGTTGCTCATCCGGTGGCTTGAACATGAGTCTGCATGTATATGATGTTGATAGATCATTACAATTATCCGCAACTGCTGAAAAATTCATGCAATGTTTAGGAATCTCTGTGGTGTGATAATCCCCGTGATCTCAGGGTGAGAGAGCCACTTGGAGATTAAAGATCTTGCTCACAATTTTTGAAAACTATTTTAAATTAATTCATTAATAATTACGACCCAAATAGAATTACAGAAAATCCTCACCCTCTCTGCTCACCCTTCCCCCCACCCCGATCCAACCCTGATTCCAACCCCCTGCTTGGGTGCACATCCTTAACGGTCCACTGCTTTGGGACGTCCTCCTGACGTGAAACGTACTATCCATATCATTTGTTATTGTCGTTGCTGTTGCTGAAAATCAAAAATTAAGATTTTTTTTACTGTTTTTCAGAATTCCTTAAAATAAATAATAATCTTAATAATCCTTGCATTTGATATAATATAATAATAATATAATAATCCTTGCATTTGATATAGCACTTTTCACGTCTTCTAGACGTCTCAAAGCGCTTTACAGAATATGCTGTAAAGTGAATTGACTGTATATTTGTGGGCGAAACGCGGCAGCCAATTGCGCACAGCAATGTCCCACAAACAGATGTGGATTGAAAATGATCAATTTAATATTGCTTTGTCTTTTGGAGGGATTATTATCAGGCGTGTGGAGTAAGGAAACTTGCCCAAGGTTTCACCCTCTGCCTGGAATTAAAGCCAGGTGTCTCGCTTGCAAAGCGAGTGCTCTAACCACTGAGCTACAGGACTCCACAATATAGCACCGTATAGCACCTTATTGAGTCTTCAAGACGTCTCAAAGCGCTTCACAGAATATACAGTAAAGTGAATTGACTGTACCTTTGATAGGCAAAACATAATCATAGGATCATACAAATTTTACAGCACGGGATACCAATGTTCATTCAATACCCCATACCTTCCTCTTCAAGCCTGTATCATTCACTCTCCTGGCTATTTCTCTCTTGACTCTCACATTGAGGATCTCACACAGAGGCTGGGGCGAAAAGTTATAGCTGGTATTTTTCTCTGAGGCTCGGACAGAGACACAATGTCACAGCATGTGAGAGGGCTTCAAATTGCATTTGGCATTATCAGGCGGTGATCCTGCTAGGCTTTTCACGCTGAATCATCGCGGTTCATATGTCTAATCCCTGCAATTTCTATGGTGATTTTCAAATGAACAAAACTGGGGTAGAGCAATATCATTCAATAAAACAGACGGTTATCGGGATGTGGAATACTCTACCGAGTAAGACTAGCGGCAGAGTTCATTGTGGGTTCCAAGAGGGAAGTAGACAGTTACAGGTTAAAAGTTAAAGGTATCCAACTCTGTCATTGTGCAATGCTCCAAGATGCTATCCTGTGTGAAGCACTTCGAGACGTTTCAAAGTCGTGATAAATCTCTATGTAAATGCAAGCATTATTATTATAATAATACGTCAGCTGGGCTGAGTGGTAGCACTCTAGCCTCTGGTTTAAGTGCCATGTCGGGAATTGGAATCACAAAATCTAAACTGACGCTCCAATGTAGCGCTGGGATGTGTTTCATTATCGGAGATGCTGCCTTTCGGATGAGACATTAAACTGAGGTCCCATCAGGTGGATATTAAAGATCCCATGGCAGTATTAGAAAAGAGAAGGGAGTTTCTCCCAGTGTACTTGCCAACAACCCCCAAATAAAATTGGTCACTTACTCCATGGCTGTTTGTGGGACACTGCTGTGCGTAATTGGCTGCTGCATTTCTCCCATAAGAAATACACAGTCAATCACTTTACAGTATATCCTGTGAAGCGCTCTGAGAACCCTCAATGATGTAATAAGGTGCTAGATCATATGCAAAAATGGTTACCTTCTGCGCTATAAATATCTCTGATTCTATAATTCTTAGTGGCAGTCCTGTTGAGGCGACCTGGAGATTGTGGTTTTAGTCGCATTTTGATTAATAGATTGATCCAATCTCTGCTCCAGAATGGTTGTATAAAAGTTATCAGGGTGGCCTAATGTAGTTACAATGGGAAGAACATCATAAAGAGCTTCACACAGCTGACTGGGAGTTTGAGCTTGGAGGGGGAAGGGTGAGGGAAGATGACTGAAAACTGCTCTAACGCAACATCTCCTTGATCTGAGTTCCAGTGGTCAGTTTGAGGTACATGGGATAATCTGGAGTAATGGCGCATTGTATATAGGTCTTGGAAGGGCAGATCAGTCGCTGTGGAAAGGGAGTCGTTCCACTCAGTTCCTGCTAATCCTGCTCGTCAAAGCCCTAACTGGCAGGGTGGTCCTAGCTGGATAAGTAGTACAAAAGCGTGACAGACAGTGATAGCAATAGCTGAGCGGTTTTAGCTGGTTAGACTCCAGCAACGACACTCTGGGTTTCCCAAGCCTTGGCTCTTGCCAAACTGCGCCTAAGACCTTCTGGAATTTGGTAAGCAGGATGTTTCCCTCCAGGAAGATAGAGTGCGCATTTCATTCCAACAATCTGTCTCTGGGATTTCCATGTGTAAGTGGAATGCATGGAATTCTCAGTTTGGTTTGGAAAGTTTTAAGCGTGGTGACCGTTTTCCGCGTGTGTCAGACACTCGCTGTTGTTGTTGCTGTTGTTGAAGGGATATGGGGATAGACCTGGGCAAAGGGATTGAATGAACATCTTGAGAGCCAGCACAGACTTGACTGGGAGTCTGAGATGGAGGGGGGAAATGACCGAAAACTGCTCTGACACAACATCACCGTGTATTGGAGTTCCCGTGGTCAGCGTGAGGTGCATTGGATATTCTGGAGTAACAACGCATTGTGTACAGATGCACTTTTTCCAGCACTCATGTTTTGTGTAGTGTCCCAGCAGAGCTCTTTCACAGTCCATTAACAATCTAACAGCTGATGGGCTGTGAATGTGCAATTAAACACATCAGAGGGTCCCAATCCTGTCCGTTAGTATTTCAGCTTCAGCTTCTCAGCGCCTAGCCAATGCAATCGGGGGCAGAAAGTGTGCAGGCCGAGTCTTCCTCCTAATCATTTGAATGCTGGAAGCATCAGCACTCTGCCTTCAGCTCTATAAACAGGGCTTTACAGTACTTGATACTCAGACCTTGCAAAGAACTGCAGAAAATCAGGGCCCAACATTCCTGACATAGAGATCTGGGAAAAACACAGCTTCTAAATTAAGCCTGAATTTAAAAATCTTTCCAAAGTTCTGCATCGTCTTACATTTTGAGATAAAGTGGTTTTAAGACAAAGCCCGCTCGCAATTTTAAGCCACTTCTGCCTGAAATGGGAAAGTGTTCATGTCTCTCACCCTCAAGAGCACAGAACACATCTGAGTGTTGTGTTGTCAGAGTTGCCGTCCTTTGTATGAGGCGATCAATTGCCTCCAACAACGACAACAAATTTACATCAGCTTTTACGTTGGGAGGACGTCCCAAGCCCCTGAGACATCCCAAGGTGTCTAACAAAATGCACAGTCGCGACACGTTACAGCACAATTATCTAAAGTGCTTTCTCTCTTCATGTTCAGGGGAATTTCGGACCTATCTTCCTTGGGGGTGTGCCATCGGGGGCTGAAGTGCACCAGGGGATGGTGCAGGAGCACAGTTATGTTGGCTGCATCCGGGAGCTGCAGGTGAACGACGAGGAGCTCTCCATTGTGGAAGAAGCTGTCAAAGGGAGAAACATTGTGAACTGCGACGTCCCAATCTGTGGCTACCAACCTTGCCAAAATGGCGGGACCTGTGTCAGGTAAGCAGCAAAGGTTGTACGCAAGATCGACAACAAGAACAATTTGCATTTACATGGATCCCTCCACATCAGATGGCATCTCGGAGTGTTGCACAATGGCGGGGTGGGATGCCAAGCAAGGGAGCGGGGGAGTGTGAGGTGACCATAGGCACAGTTGAAGAGGTAGGTCTTAAAGTGGGATTTACAGATTGATTCAGAAGGGGTGAGAAGAAAGGATTGAGGCAGAGAGTTCCAGAGGTTAGTGGTGTAGTGACTGAAGATGTGGCCATCAATGGTGACACACAGAGATCAGGGACATGCAATAGGCATGTTTTAAATGAGCGAAGGGTTTGGGCAGAGCAATGTGGTATGAGCAGGTCAGTGACATAGAAGTAAGGTCACTTTTAGTTTGACTGCTGTAATGATATTGATCACCACTGATTGATTTTTCCCGTCTGCCTGTTCCTGAGAAACTCTCATCTCTTTTCGAATAGTGCCGTAGGATCGTTGACTTCCACCTGAATAGGCAAATGGGACCTCAGTTTAACATCTTATCCATAAGACAGCGCTTCCATCACTGCAATGTCCCATCTCAAGACACTCCTCTTCATCCGTGTTTTTGGGAAACCCTCCAACACCAATTCTCCCTGCCCTCCTCCCTTCCTGATCCCAACCCCCAGCTCGGATCCAAATCCCTATCTGTCTGACTCAGAGCCAGAAAGTTTTTGCTCGGTTTTCTGTGGGGTAATTATTTCAATAGTTTGCCCAAGGAGGTGTAATAGTAATGTTAAATGAGCGAATCCTACAATTCCTGCATTTGATATTGTGTCTTATTACGTCATTGAGTCCTACAAAAGGATGGGTTTTACATGGCTGTAGAGGAATGGATTTGATGGACAGAATGACCCTTTGTCCTTCCAAACTTTCTCATGTTTTTAAATCAGAGCTGAGTAAACAGACATATCTGGTGATCCTTTGAGTGTCAGATGCAATCTGTGAGCAGTGAGATGAGTTGAAAGCAGTGTTGTGGCTCACATCTGGACCTCTGTGGAATACTGTAGTTTTACTTTCAAATTTGAAAAGACTGCCTTAGAAAAGATTTCTTTGCACAAAAGACTGGGTGGACGCGGAACACACTGCAACAGATGGACAACGATGCTGGATCGATTGAAAAGCTGTAAAGGAATATAGATACTAGGAAAGCAGAGGTAGCAATAATAACAACCTTGGATTTTCTCCGATAGCTTCTTGGAGTCCTATAACGTAGGGGTTAATGCCCTCATGAGCAAGAGGACCCAGGTTCGATTCCTGGGCAGGGCAAAATCTTAAGTCTCCTTGCTCCACATGCTTCTGTTTATCTAGCAGTAAGTCAGAACCTGGTTGTTAGTCAATTGGTGGATCACTTTCCAGGGGTAATAATACCTCAAAAAAAATTGGTCACTTGATCCACGACTGTTTGTGGGATTCTGCTGTGCGCAATTGGCTGCCAAGTTTCATCCACTAAACACACCGTCAATTCACTTTACAATATATTCACTGAAGCGCTTTGAGACGGATCAAATGTAAGAATTATTATTATCTTTAGCATTATAAAGTCAAAACATCTCAAAGAGATTCACAGGTAATTTGAGTTAAGTGAAGTGTTTATTTGTAGGCAAATGCGTCAGCCAATTTACCCACAGCAATGTCCTATACATAGTTTTAACTGAATGATTCATCTGGAAGATTGATAGACTGGACACTGAGAGAAACACACTTAACTTTGTGAACAGTGTCATTGTGATCTTTAGCATCCGTTTGCGCAGACAACTGGGACTTTTATTTAACTCATTTAACCTGTCAACTGAAGAACAGCACATTGGACAGTGCAGAGTTGACCTTTTCAGCATTGTACTGGAGCATAACAACAACAAATTACAACAACAACAAAAACAACAACTTGCATTTATATATAGCGTTTTTCACTCAGGGCACATTTGTATAGCATCTTTTACGTCGGGAGGACATCCCAAGACGCTGGACAGTCAAGGATTTGGACCCGAGCAAAACGGTGGGATCGGGGGAGTGGAGGGCACGGAGGGTAGGGGTAGGAAGGGGACCAAAGACACCCTCATAAGCCTAGACTATCATTACTATGTCCTAATATAGGACCTGAATCCACCACCTTCAAGGCTATCAATTGTACCAGGCTGACATTTAAGAGATGGAGGATATTATAAACACTCCAAGATGCAGTCCGGTGTGAAGGGCACTATATAAATGTAAGTTGTTGTTGTTGTATTAATGGATATGGAGAAAAGGCACGAGATCTGCCAATATCCCCCCAAAAAATGGGACAGATTCAAAGGGCCACCTCCTCTTCTTATGTTGCTAGCACCTTAACCCTGACATGCCATTTCCTATCCCTTGTATTAACGTTAATGTAAATTGGTGTTGTTGTTGGGTTTAAGGTGCTTTGGGACGTCGTCCCCACGTGAAAGGGGGGATGTTAGAGAAAAAAGAGAAAGGAGTTTGTCACCGGCCAACAATCCTCCAGGTACAATTGGTCAATTGTTTTATGGTTTAGTTCTGGTACAAACCTTTGACTGTCCAGCACCTTGGGAAGTCCTCCAAAAATGAAAGGTGCTACATAAATATAATTTGTTATTGCTGTTGTTGGCTGTTTGTGGGACATTGCTGCGTAAATAATATTTGCGTCTGATGTAGCACCTTTCACCTTGGGGGGACGATTAAAAGTGCTTCGCAGGATTCACTCTAAAGTGTTGTGACTGTGTACCTTGTAGTTGAATGTTCACCTAGAATACACATTCACTGCACTTCACAGAAATACTGAAGCACTTTGAGACACTGTGACATGATTGATTTTAGCCGTAATAATAATAATGCTTCCATTTGATTTTGCGCACAAAATTCACACGGTCAATTCACCTTACAGTATATATTATGAAGTGCTTTGAGATGTCTCAATGACATGATAAGGCGCTACATCAAATGGAAGGATTATTATTATATTCTTATTATTGACTTTATATCAAATGGAAGCATTATTATTATTACCGTGGCTAAATTCAAAAGACTGTGTGAATTGCAGATGCTCATACCTGAAGCAAAGACTCTAGACTTGCTCCCATTTTCCTTCTCGTCAAATCACGTACCAACAGGAGATCGATTCATGTTAAGCATTTAGTTAAGGCAGGAAAAAAGAAATCAAACACCATTTGCACCCTCTTATGTTTGGTGCAAATATTGACTGAATATTGTACTTCTCTGTAATTTGATTTATAGGCATAGATTCTCAGCAAACCAATAAAACTTAGATGACTTCAATGTCTGTCTCAAGACTTACTTTTCGACCGCAATTCGGTCACCTTTTTTCTACCTCAACCCAACCTCAGCTCCCTATCCCCAGCTCGGGTACCCAGTCAGTACTGTTCAGTGCTTTGGAACAGCCTTCCAAAGTGAAAGGCGCTGTATAAATGCAAATTGGATTGTATTCTTCAATCCATTTCTTTGCCAAATGTCCATATAATTTACTCGGTCCATGCCCGCCTCACTGGCCTCCCCAGCTCCATTCTCCACAAAATCCAGTTAATCCCAAACTCCTCCACCCACATACTCACGTGCACTAAACTCTGTAACCCAATCACACCAGTTCTAGCCAGGCTTCACTGGCTCCCTATGACTGAACGGAACATTTTCAAGATCCACACACCCGTCTTCAAATCCCTTTGTGGCCTGGGATTTCTCTACCTCTTCAACCTGCTTACACCTCAACCCACAACCCGCTGCCTCCGGTTGACTGTCTCCGGCCTTCTGCATGTCCCTCGTGCCCTCTATTTAATAATTGATGGCCGCAATTTCAGCCATTACGGCCCGAAACTCTGGAATCCTCTCCCTCTATCCCTCCTCCTTGCCATCTCCTTCCCCATCTTCAAGTCATACCTGAAGAACTTCCTCTTCAACGATGTCTATGGTCATCTCCCCCCTTCCCTTTGTGCTCCACCACTGTCAAGCATTCTAGGACGCTACCCTGTGTGAGGAGACTGTATAAGTGCGAGCTGTTTGTGTAATTGAGTGGATATTGGATAGATTACAGCTATCAAGAAAGATTGGACGGTTTGGAGCTTTTCTCTCTGGAGATGAAAGATTGAGAAGGGATCTGATAGACGTATTTTAGGTTGTGAAAGGACTTGACAAGGTTGATGTTGCCACTTGTCGATGAGTCCCAAACAAGAGGGCATAAATGTGAGGCAGCTAGCAGCAAATCTAACAGGGAGTTTGGCAGAAATGCAGACCTCCACTTGATTCGTAATTTACTTTTGAGTGGGAAAGCACAAATTAAACAAAATCAAACAATGCTGCTTGCCAAATTAATGAATTGGAGGTCAGTGCAACACAATGCAATTTTTTTGCAAATTGTTTTAAAATTAAGCAGCACTTGTTCCGAGCTCAGGTCCTTGGGTAATAGTGTGTAATTACGCACGTCTTTGCCTGTTTTTATTTCTTTGATTTAAATTGTGTTGGAACGTGGCTCTGAGCCACGCACACATAACATTCAGATGTTGTGGAAGCAATGGCCACAGTGGGAATCCGCAGAGGCAAACTTTCAAGTAAATATTTGGACAACTTGCAAGATATGTTGACCTGTACAAATGACATAACAACAACACATGCCTAATGGTTGCATTGTAGATCTCATCACTACAGCATTTTTATTGATGATAATAATAACAACAATATTAATCATAATCCTATTGTTATAGTGTGTTATCATATCAGGAAGACCTATCAAAGTGCTTCAGATTAGCTAGTGTAGTGACCGTGCATTTGCAGTCGAACTTGGCAGTTAATTTGCACATAAGAGAAACTCTCGTATCTTTTCAAATCATGTCTTTTGTAAAAAGAATTTGGTCACTCAATCCACGACTGTTTGTGGGACACTGCTGTGCGCAATTGGCTGCCACGTTTCACCCACAAAATACAGTCTGTCCACTTTACAATTTATTCTGTGAAGCGCTTTG